TCTGAACATTTTGGCATACCTCAGAAAAAATGGATGTGTGTGTGTGTGTGTATGTATAGATACAATTTTTAGTCACCTTTTTAGGCGCACGGATCAACCGATTGGAATGGTTCAAGAAACATTCGATTCTTATTGATAGGCAGATGTGCAAAGGCAGGTACAGCCGTTACGGAGATAAAGAGCAAAAAGTGCAGAAAATAGAAATCGAGTTTTTGAGAGAACGGAGCATCCGATTTGAATGATCTTAAAAACATTCAATTAGCATTGATTGAGAGAAATGGTTATCAGTTTTTGGCAAAGGCAGGCCCAGCCATTTCGAATATACAGAGCTAAATATACAAAAAATGGCTTTTGAAACAAAAATTTGTCTTTTTTGTATATTGACAATAATTCAGATTTCAATTTTAATTCTGGCTGAAGTTTTAAAGCTCACATCTATACTATAAAGAAATAATTTTAATTTTTAGTTTATATAATTCTTATAAATAAATATTTGACAAATGTTACAGTATTTAAAATAATCTATTTGAAAACATTTAATATTCCTCGAACATTTCGTTACGGTACGGGAAGTTCCAGCAATTTGCCTTGAAGCACGATGCCATGCACCCCATTAGTTTTCTGTGTTTTTTTCTGATCATCGTTGGCATTTATACTTCAACATGAAGTAGAATTAAATTAAAAAAAATCAATTCAATTAATGTGACTACAAATATTACAAACTTGTTTGAAAGATATCATTTGGGAATCGTCTTGGTCAGTGCTTTAGTTAAAAGCGCAAAACAGTTAAAAATGTTATCTATATTTTAATTGATTAGACCAATTATTTACCATATCGGAAAATTCATGCAACTTTCCTCACCTTTCCACACTGGCAGGACGGTTGTGACAGCTATAAATTTAAATTACAAAACATTAGTTATGAACATAAAAATGACTTATGATGACTTTTAATTATCAGAAATATGCAACACAGCATAACACAATCATTTAAACAAAGCTTATGACTAAAACAATATATAACAAAATATAATTTTTTAAACATAGTTAACAAGAAATAAACTAAACTATGTGATCACTTTCCTTCTCATAATTAATATGTTACTGTAATAAACATCAGTTGCCTAAGCAGTCAAAATATTCTAGTAACTATGTATCAATGTACTGAGATCTAGTCAAAATTATCATTACAATGGTGGCAAATGTTATAGTGACTATCAACTGCGCATTCGGAGCTTCCACAATTTCACAAAGGACTTACCTCTTAGGGCCCTATCTCAAAAACTGTAAAGTTTAGTTGTTATTACGACCGTCACGACCGTACCCTGGCACAATCGTACACAGTCTTCACTACTATTTTACAATAGTTACATAGTAATTTATTTTTCTCGCAGTCTATTTGAAAATTAGTATAATAAATAGAATATGACATGCCTAATATGTTGGCGTTTTTCGATCTGTGTTTGCTTTCGTACATTCTAAATTAGTAGAGTAGAGTTGCCTTTTTCCGCGGGTATAAAAATTCCCTATCGAAATCGCAAAAACAAGTAAAGTTAAGAACTTTTTAACTTCTCGAAGCAGAAGTTTATGTTTTCATCAAAAAATCCGATTCGCTAATTTTATGTTTTCTCGACGTATCGTTTGTCAGTTTTGTGCGACGATCTGCCCAGCCGTTTCTTTGTAATATGAAAAAAAGTGTTAAACTTTTTGACCCCATTTAAGCTCAAACTACCGAACCGATTTGAAAAATCAAAAACTGTTCGATAGATATTAGTTGGGAATAATAATGGTTAGTTTTAAATGAAAATCTACCGAGCCGTTTTTAACTTCCCGCAGGGCAAGTTATAGTAATCGCAAAAAAATCGAAAATGAAAATTTTTATATATCTTTACGTTTCAGAGGTTTCTGAACATTTTGGCATACCTTAGAAAAAATGGATGTATGTGTGTGTGTGTGTGTGTGTATGTATGTATGTATGTATGTATGTATGTATGTATGTATGTACGTGTGTGTATGTGAGGATACAAATTTTCGTCGACGATTTCGAGAACACGGATCAACCGATTTGAATAATTCAAAAAACATTCGATTCGTATTGATAAGGAGACGTGCTGATTAGTTTTTGGCAAAGGCAGGTCCAGCCGTTCCGAAGATACGGGGCAAAAAGTGCCAAAAACGGTACCTCCGTTTTTAAGAGAACGGAGCGTCCGATTTGAATAATTCAAAAAACATTTTACTTGTATTGACAAGATGTAGAATTGTTCAAAGTTTCATGGAGGCAGGTCTAGCGGTTTCGGAGATCTGATAAAAAAAGTAAAAAAAAATGCCATTCGGCGGTTAAAAATGATCATTAGACATATGCACATCAAATTGTCAGATATTTTATAGAGATTTTAACAATAAGTATGATTTTTTTTTACATTTCTGTGGGTTCCGTACCAATGCTTATGCGTTAGACGGCGGCGCGGCACCTGCGAGCTTTGACATTTCGTCTCTATGCAGTTCAAGCAGTGCGATTGCTTTGAAAAAAAGTTCAGAATTTTCAAAATATGTCAAAATGAAGAAAACATTTTTTTTCAAAAAAGTATTTTTTTGTCAAATTTATAGTTTCTCAAAAATCTATTTTTTTTTCGAAGTAAAATTTTTTCAAACATGTTAATCGTTTTTGAAAAAATAATAATTTTTGGTACGGGAAGTTCCAGCAATTTGCCTTAAGGCACGATGCCCTAATTGCCTTAAGACAGAATTCCACTTACAGCTAGTTTAAAAAAAATTAAGCCGAATTTTATGGAACTTTTTTTAGCGATATATATCATGGTCCTATAGAACTTACTAAATTATTACGGCCTTACGACAAGTAGTTTAAATTTAAAAATGCATCAAACTATGAGAAAATGATTAGTTTTGTTGACGTTAGCTAAAATTAAAATTAGACGATTTACTTGGTATAACAATAGAGTACTTGGTCTTAATGAACATACTAAACCAATAAAGTCCCACGGAAACTGGTTCAAATTTTTTTTTTCAAAAATTGTTGATTTTTTAAAATTTAAAGTTCATGTAACTTGCCTCAGGGCAAAATACCAGTACCAACTTGTTATATCTGTATGGAAATCTTAATTGGAAAGCACACATTCAGTAGAAAAGAAGACAATTGCAAGAAAAATTCAAGAGAATATATTCTTTGTTTGGAAGAAAATCTCAACTATCGACATACAATAAACTTGTGTTTTATTTATAAAGTTACTCTAGAATCTATATGGACTTGCAAAATAAGTCTTTAGGAGTCAGGATGCAAAGGTAATAAAAACGTCATTTAAAAATTCCAAAATAAGATTCTAAGGATCATTCTGAAGGTCTCAAAATATGTATCGACCTGGATGCTCCACCAGGGCAAAGGCATGCGTGCTGTGAGACAAGAGATCACAAAAGACGCCATCAAGTACAAACTTCGACTGGAAAACCAGTCTTAATTAAATTAAATAAAATAGTTAGTTATTCCAACTCTGAGTATACCAAATTAAAATTATATAGAGTGTTATTCCTGTAAAAAATGTATCTATGAAATTTATATTCTGCATTAGTTGGTTATTGAAGCTATTGTTTTGTGAATTCCCTTCAAAATCAATAATAATACATTGGATTTGTTTGCATCCTAGCTGTACCATTTTACCGCGTATGAGAAAACAAACAGGTTTTTTGAAAAATGGCATAAAGACACATTTCTACAATGGTAATTTACCGATAATAATTTGAGATAATAATTTGAGTTTCAACATCACCAATTAAATAAAAATTTTGCTGCAAAATTAATCTTGATTCCATGATGAATAAATATTATAGAAGAGCCAACATGGATTTAATTAGAGGTTATGTGTATAAATATTCTTATGTGTCATAATATTTCAGTTCACAAATACTATACAGATGGCGCAAGAATTTACTTAATGACTTATGTTAATAACAAATATAAGAAACTTTCAATTGGCGTGCGCTCTATCTAAATGATTATATTAGGAGCTGATGCTATTAGAGATTCATTCTTTATTCATTTGGAAGCATTGGCGCCCTTGGGAGCAAAGAAATCCGAAAATGTCCTTGTTAAGGACCACCGTAATATTTATATATGTGTGTGTGTGTGCATGTATCGCATCAAAGTCTAGAAAATGCAACTTTCACATGAGATTTCAGATTGAGATCTATAACCTAAAGCGGCAATTTCACATCATACTGTTTTTATCGATCTGTCCAATGATGGAATCAAACCTGGAACTAGTCCGTGATAGACCACGTGCTTAACCATTATACCACAAATGGTACTTTTTTGCATATTAGAAATATTAATTTTTATTCATGCTAATTGAAGTGATATATTTGTTTATAGAACGTGACGCAATAGCGATTCGCATTACGACGTATTGTCATACACCACTAGTTTAAATTTATGGCTGAAATTTTTTAAACGATGTCTTATAATTTGAAACAAAACAAAATTAGTTTTAATCGGCAGGTGATTACCGAGGCGAATTCCTACCTGTGCGCGTATACATACAATATATCATTTACGGATAGCGATTAGATACATATGTAGCATTGACATATTCAATACAATTGTCAGTCATACTAAGAAGTCCGAGAAGTTAATACGCGCGCGACTTTTGAATTTAGAACGATATTAAACGAATAAAAAACGATTAAGTTAAAAATTACAAGTTGACAATAATACTTCAAAAAGTGTCATGCATGTTAGATCCTATATAAAATATACGCGATATAATCCTAATTTTATTCTAAATATTATTTATCGTGTGGGGTAAAGTAGAGTAGTTGGAAAAAATGTGTACATTTTCATCTGGAACTAGACATTGTTGGATGACGCTTACTACATAACAAGTATTTGCATAAAAAAAAATTAATTCTAAAAAATAAATAGCTGTGATATTAAACTTTTATTCTAAATTATTACTTTTAATTAGTCTTAGAGTTTTTAATTATTTATAATGAATCTTTTAAACGTGGTACCGTTTCTGTTAGTTCTATGGAAGTGTGTTTCACCATTGGAAGGTTAGTGAAACAAATAACTTAATTATATTTGAATATATATATATATATATATATATATATATATATATAATTTAGAAATATAAAAAACAGCACTCTTCTTTTGCACTAATTTATTAAATAACATTAATTCGACAAACGTACCAAAACGAGATTTATCTCATCATCAGTGTATTATAATTAAAATTTTTAAATATGAATATCTAAAATAGCATTATGCGTTAACTCTTCCAAATTTTCATTCTAACTGAACTTACCTATTACTTGAGTAAGAACAAAAAACTGGAAGAGTTAATACATAATGCTAGTTTAGATATTAATATTTCAAATTTTAAATTGTAATACACTGATGATGAAATAAACCTAGTCTGGAAACGTTTGTAAAATTAATATTATTTAATAAATTAATGCAAAACAAGAGTGCTTTTTGTTCATATTTCTAATTAAATGTTTAACTACTTAGAATGCATTTGAATACATATATATTAGGATGGTCCTTAAAATAAATATTTTCAAATGTTCTTGCTCCCAGGGACTCAAATGATTCCAAATTGATATATTAACTTAAAGGTAGTCTGCAATTGGATCAAAGTTTCTTATGAAAATATAATGGGAAAAATTCTATTTGTTTTTTAGTGACAAGTAAATCAAAATTTTGAAATTAGCATTGGATTTGCTTATTTCGATCATAAATAAAAAAATTGCAAGCAAGGTTTAATCTTTTTAAAAAAATAAGTATTTATTTGGGAAAAAGAACCAAGAAACTTTTGGTTGGAGTGCAGACTATCTTAAAGTCAATGTTAAGAGCTGAAACTTTCAAGGAATTTATTCTTGTCACTTTGGAAGCATTTGAGATTCTGGAAGCAAAGAAAATCAAAAATATCCATTTTAAGAACAACCCTAATATTTATATATTATGATTTTATCTTACATATTGTAGTTGTAAAGATGTTACGAGAGTCAGTTTCGAAGTTTATTTCTTACACATAAAAATATTAACCCTTTCTAGAAACAAATAATTGTAAAATTGCTGAATATATTTTATTCAATTGTAGAATATATCTTATTTTGAACAGTAGTAGACTAATCAACAACTTTTCGCCACAATCTTGACACCGTTCTGTTGAAAAAAATTTGAATAAGATGTTTGAAAATATTTGTTCCTTTCATTATGCAAAATTCTACGATTCTACGATGGTGATATCTCGATGATTATTTAGCCAACGTAAAAAAATCAATGTTTTTGTAATAATGTCAATTTATTTCCTAACATAGACTTTTGATAATAATTTGTTACTTTTTATCCAGCGATATTTTAAATTATTTACCCCGTCTCAAAAATAAGTTTTCATGTCATATATAAAGTAGGCTCCGTGGTGGCGATGACCTCCTCATTCCATGTAAATTTCTACCCAGCGAGAGTTCTTTTCAAGGTTGGGAATGAAAAGTAGTTAAACGAGGTTAAATCTGAAGAATACATTGGTCATGGCAATAGTTAGTAGGCCTATTTGACCTATTTGGTCTTAGTGAAAACGAAGATGTGCGCCATCGTGGTTGAGTATCATTGTTTCCCTCCCAAGCAAAACTCTATGACCATTTTCTCGATAATCATCACCTTCGACAGCTTTCTTACGCCCAAAAATTTTCTTGTCTCTAAAACATGAAACAAACCATCGACCAACAATACCTTTTCCTATTTGAATTTGCAATTTACGAAGAACACCACGTGTCCCGTAGCCAAAATAAAACAACGGTTTCAATCCTACGGAAATTTTGACAGTAGCCAATTATGAGCCAAACTTACCAGAATCCTGAAGCATAAAAAACGGCTTTAGATGAAAAATTTGTTTAGTAATAAACAACTGCACACAATTTCCTTAATGCATCAGATAAAACGGATATCATTTTAGATAGAAACTATGCAAAATTTATCTAATAATTGACATTACTTTTCAAGAAGAAATTTGAAAAATATATTTTTATAATTTTTGATGTAAACAATATTATTACATTAACAAATTTGAAATTGTAAAAAAATTAATATTTTTTGAATAACAATATTTGATGCTTAGATGGAGATAGTTTATCAAATTAACAGCATTTCATAATAAAGTACCTATCATTAAAAATAATTCAAATCATCTATTAATTAATCAAAAGTAACTATTATTAAAAGTTGGTAACCATTATTTTAAATGACATTCAGAAATAAATTTTATTAAAAATGCTATGATTATATCAGTATACCATCATATCATATGGATATATATGATCATATAAACTCAGTAAGAGAATGCCAGCATTTTTATAAAATGCGAAAGTTACACACAAAGTTTAAAAAAATGGCATACAGTAAATATTCAATGAGTATTAAAAAAATGTTCATATATCAGTACAAAATACAAAATTTTGTGAATGAAATGTATTCGTATTAATTAAACATTTCTATATAATCTAATAAATAAATGTGCATATGTAAAATACCAGTTTTACCATCAAAAAGCTGGTTTTATAGACTGTAAATAAGATTCTGTAGTTCTTAGGGATACCGTAAATTTTTTTTGCAATATCTAAGAATATTCGTCAAACATGTACAGACATTCCAGAGTGTGGAGATGGCTACATATGAGTTCAATGCTGGTTATTTTGAAATGTCCGGTACTAGGTGCCACTTTGTAAAATCATATTTTTGCTACCAAAGTTTGATTGATAGTAATGATTATTTTTCAGCAAAGATTGCGTTTTTGTTAATTTAGTTTGATTTCTAACTTTATTATCTAACATAAGTCATAATTTAATAAACCATTTGTAAAATATTTTTTGATTTATTTATAAATAACCTTAGGTGTCCGGCACTCGGGGACTTCCCCCTATATAAAAAAACAATTTTTACTAACAATTAGTTGTTTAGCAATCCCATAGGCAAACTATGAGATGTTAACTTACGTTTATCAATGATCACAAATTGTTTTGTTATTATATTTCAAAACAATACAAATTTTGTGCATATCGCCTGATTTATATTACTTAAATGTACTAAAATAGCAACTAGTCATCAGCGCAAGGTGGAAAAATTCCATGTTGAAATATTGGGTTATCAATATGGATTTATATCTCCGATTCTTATTCAATGTATAATCCCTACTTGTAAATAATATTTATTTATATATAAATATAAATGTATGAATAACTAGTTGAAAGTAGAATTTTGCTTTAAGACAAGTTGCAAAAACTTCCCGGTAGGTGTAATAATTAACTTATTCAATCGAAATTGGGTTTTAGATATTTAGATAAAATTTTCAACTTATTTCGAAAATCGAGTTTTCGCTTTCAATTTAATCAAAACCTTGCGATTTCTAATTGATATCTTTCAAACACATTTATAATATCTGTAATTATATTAATTATAGTGCACAGACACGTTCTTGTTTGTATGTCCTACAATTGTAGACTATTATTCTAAATTTTAATTAATTTAATTTTTTTAATTTTCATATGACAGTTTAGTATATGTGTATGACAGTTTATCGCAATGTTAACTTTAAGGAAAAACATCGACCAACCAATTTCCGTATGACTGTTTAGTGTTTAGTGTATGAACTTTATCACAACATTAAATTTTATGTAAAATATCGAAAACCTTTATAAAGAAACCCACTAAATTATTCTGTGAAAGGTTAAGTATCTACTGTTAGAAAATACGGGCAAAAATACTTCTTAGTTCTAGATATAATTTAATGATTTATATTAATGGTAACATTTTTTCTAAAACTAGAGAAGTTTTGTAGACTGTTCATTTACATTCTTGCTAATTCCAAAGTCATTTGGTACAAATTTTGACTATAATATTTTTTTCAAATTTTGATGAATTTTTAAAATTAAACTACTTGTCGTAGGGCCGGAATATTTTAGTATGTACTCTAAGATTGTGGTATCTATCGCCAAAACAATTTCATAAAAATCGGCAAAAATTTTGTTTTAACACTTAGAAAACGGCTCGCTAGATCTCTGCCTGAAACTAATCAGTATCAATCCCAACCAATATCTTGCATACGGTTTTTGAATTTTGAAATCGGTTCAGAATTGCGATTCACAAAGAAACGGCTCGGCCGATCGTCGCGCGAAAATAACAAACAATAGTCGTCATTGACATACATCTATGGCTTTTTAATTTTTGAAATCGGTCCAGCCATTTCTGCGAAAACGTCGTAAGGTAAAAAATCTGTTCGCACGCACACACTTTTTCCAAATTTGGTGTCATTCGATTCAGAATGGCTTGAAGCGTCGAGAAAACATAAAATTAGCGAGTCGGATTTTTTTATGAAAATATAAAGAATGTATTGTTCTTTGTACATTATTTTTTGTTTTTATGTCTACTTTTGCACGTTAATATATATTCTCGAACTGCGTCGCATTCTTCATTTCACATAAACAGTCCGCACTCTTGTCAACATAAATAACTAATTTTCAAAATTGCTTTTGTATAGCTTCAATTATTTTTCAATAAAATAGTAATTGACTTTATTAATGACTTAAAACAATCATAAAGGCAACAAAAACGCAGTATCATCTCTTCAAAAACTGTCATATCATTTGCTTATTGTTTTATACATTTGAAAAGTAAAGTGCTTAGTATTAAAGTGAATAGTAAAACAATTATAATAATATTAATACATATTAATAACTAATTAAAGCAAAACTTTTTGAGAAGAGTATTATAAGTATAATAAAATAAGACATTTTTAAATACCATATAACTTAATCATATAACGAATTCGAGAGCACGGATCAACCAATTTCAATGATTTAAAACACATTCGATTTGTAATGATGAGGAAAAGTGGTGATTAGATTTTGGAAAAGACAGGTCCAGCCGTTTTTTGGAGATGTAGAGCTGAATGTGCAAAAAATTTAAGTTTTTGAGAGCTAAGCATCCGTTGAATGTGTTGACGAAACGGTTGCTTTTATCATTATATATATCAAAGAATAATTCGGATTTTAAT